ATTCTCCTCGTTCAAGAATTTAAGAATTTTCAATGAGTATCGTTGACTGAAATCTTTTGTCGGACGAAGTTGATGAAAAAAATTTGTCAAAAGGTCTGCCGGCTAAATTGAAAACGTCGGCTACAGTTTATAACGTTGTTCAACAAACTTTCGTCGGTTACTGGATTGTTTGTAAAGAAAAAGAAAAAAAAAAAAGAAAAATAAAAGAAGAATACAAACTTGTGTAATTACTTATTAAAGCGCTAATTTTGTTGTCTCGTCGTAATTTCACTCTGCGAAAAAAAAAAAACTTACCGGCGTCGTTCGCAAGTTCGAAAGCAGCTTGAAATGTTCGAGCAGGTCGAAAGCAGCTGAGAAATTTGTAATGTATTTTATAAGTTTCGCGGGGATGTATGCCGCTGGTAAACATTAATTTCAAAGGGCAAACGCTTTAGTTGAAGGCTGGCATTCTCCGACTTCCGATAGCAATTATCTGGCGCGAATCCAAGACAAACGAATGCTTGATAAGAAGTTCGTGGAAAGCTTGGGGCAAACTTCCGGTCAGTTTCCGTGATTTGTTTGTGTTCATGTATCTTCTTAATCATGCTAATAGGGACGATAAAAGCTCGAAGATTGGTGAACAGTGTTTCATTATATTGATCTTCGATTAACGTTGCGATCACTTTCTTCTGTAACAAGTTTCTACCGAAACGAATCTTCAGTCTTGCAAGATTGAAAAGTTTTTCAATAACAATAACAATAATACAATATAATAATAAAACAATTTTATAATAATAATAATAACAATAATAAAAATAATGATGATGAGCGTTAAGTAGCAAAATATAAACGCCAGTAATTTTTTTATCAAAGATGATAAATTTTATTTCTCGATGGTTCAGCGAAATATTCAAATGCTACTACTTAATAACTAACTGTTAAGATAATAACAAATTAAATTCACAGTCTGCCGGTCGCGAGACCGTGAAGAAAAAGATCGTTGCGCCCGTGTCGGGGCAAATATTTGCATATCCCGGCTGCCTTTATTTGATTCAATCCTCGAAGAAGATACTAAAAATATCGCTGTTTTAAGTGTTTGCCCAAGGTCGATTTCAAAGGGACCGAAATATTTGCAAAGAGGTTTCTCGATTGTTCGCCAGTGTCAACAGTTCCTTTTCACTTTTTACGCAGAGTGAAGCAACGTCTGTCGACGAAAATTCATGGTCGTTCGACGTTTTAACTTTGACCGTTTCACGGGATCACGTTGATCGGTTCTAGGTACAGCGATTTTCATCCGCTTTTGCTTTCTCTTGACTTCTCCCCCAATCTTCTTCGAAACAGATATCCGACAATTCTGAGCTTAGATCGGGTCGGGAATAGTTTTTAGGTTCCGATGAAATTAGTTTTGTCGATTCTTAAATATGGAGTGGGAGGTGATTTCGCGTGTAAAATTGTGTCGAAAGGGAGGGAAAGTTTTTTCTTCAACGCTAGAACTACCAACTGGTCAAAATGACCAATCTCTAATTTTTCAAAATACGATTCTGATGTTTTTAGTGATTTTGGATAATTTTTGTAATAACGAATAAAAGTTTGCGTCCTTTGTTATATTTATAAACATTTCACTATTCACTTTGCACTTTAATTTCATTGGTGTAATCTTCGTGCTTTGGTAGTTTTGGTGTTAGAGCTTTCGTTTTCGAGAAAATCAAAGATCGAACAATTTGTATATTATTCTTTAATATAAAACATTAGAAAGAAATCTAGAAAATTCATACGTGTCTCGAAAATTTTCAAACACGATCAGAAGTTAACATTATGATTACTATATTACTGCACAGGTATTCACATTCACAGAATAATTTCAATTTTCATAAGAAGGAAGAAAACAAATCATTTCTGGTTCAAACAAACGATCGAGAAAATCACGAAAATGTTAAACTCAGCATCGATCCGAATTGATCGTCGACTGTACAACGTGCATATTGGAAATTCACTCGCTAACAATAAGTATAATCTTAGGTAAATGCTCGAATCATACCGTGCAGAGAAAAGATCTCGAGACGATACGATACGAATAGCAGATAAGGAAGCGCGTGGTACCGATCGCACAAAGTACATACAGCAATTTTTGGATTATAGTATTGGCGCGTAATGGCTGAGAATGTACATTCGCTCCCCCTCTCGTGGAATCGCCTTCGAAATACCGGCTTTTCCACCCTGCTGTTGGCTTTAAGTGGATTTAGCCGCGCGAGATCGCTCCACATTCGGAACCAATCGATGGTGCAATTTTAATGAAGCCCCGTCATTTGCTTAATTCATATTTACGGCCGCGCTACTTGCCAGGATTATTAAAGTCCTGTTTCGTTCGTCTGCGACATCTTTTTCAAGATACACGCGCTCGCGTTGCGCTCGTTAGCTGGAAATCGTGATTTCAATGTCGTTTAACGTGATAGATATTTGTAAATGAGCATCGGCTAGTTCTAAATGTCTTACTCTTAAAATTCATCGAAACATCTATTTTTGTCAATTTGGCAGAAGCTTTGTTGATGCACAGTTGAAGATAATGAACTTCTTAACTTTTTGGCTATGAATGACGAGTGTACTGAAGAAATGGCTATTTTTCGTGTAATACTAGAGAAATAATTACAATTTGACACCTTGAATTAAATTTCTTGTGGGAAATAAAACATATTTGTAAATATCTTAGATATTTTAGAATATTTTAAGACTATTTGAGTAGTAATCTTAAAATTTTTGCATCATTCCTAAATATTTTCTTGCTATCGATATTAATTAAGTTAAACAAATCAAAATTATTGATTTTTCAAAAAAAAAGAAAAAAACTAGTGCTATTTCCTTATAATTTGGTTCAATTTTACAGCAGCTGCACATATTCTATGTTTGACGAATATAATCGTCACACGTTTAAAATGCATACTTTTAGAAGCCAAGAAATTGTTGTACAATGACGTTTGACTCTTCAAAAATAAATCTACACAGTAATGAATCGTAACAAGTTTTAGCAGAGGACAAGAATCTCGAGCCTCCGCCATTTGCGATTCTTCGCGGTCAGTCCTCGGCACGTTCGACAAATTTCCAAACATTCCAACCAGAAGAAGAAAGGTTCCGGATCCTTGTCGCAGACATCTCAATTAATTTGACAGTTCGACTTAAAATTTCCGACCGACGTTCCTCTCGTTCGTTTGCAAAAAAAACGTTGAATCAGCGACATTCGAAATTTGCACATTCTGCCGGAAGTACAGTTCCAAGCGTCATGCGTACGTCCTTTCCTCAGAAGGAAAACACGAGTTTCGAGGCTTCAAGTTTTCTCCCCTGCGTAATTTCGCGTGTCCCACGTTTGCAAAGTTAGCCGCCGACGGGTCTCGAGTGTGGTAACCGCGGCGACGGGATCCCGAACTTAAAATTCCGGGCGTTCGCCGGTCGAATCAATTTGACAAATCGGTCGTTCGCCAGTTCGTTCTCTGTTCCTGCACGGAGGATCCACGGCCTGGTCCCGAAAACTAAAAGTCTGCTCCGCTTCGTGGAAAATTCAGTGTATACCGCGGCTGTCTCTTGCACGGCTGCCTCCGTATATGCAGAGATCGGTCGTGCGTGTACGCGCGCGCAGGCCTCTGTTCAAGTTCGAGTTCATTTGCTTTCGCCAGAACGGATACCGGAAGATTGGTCCTCCCAGTGTGTACGGATGCAGCCGTGCACGCTTGTACAGACTGTTCCTAGATTGAGCGATCAAAGTGGTGAACCCCTTTGGTTCGCTGACTGGCCGTAGAATTTGAAGCCGAAACATTGTCGAAACGATTGACCGTACCGAAAACTGTATTTTCTGACGGAGAATTGATCGTTTTCGACGTTGATATTCTTTAATATACACGCTTGTGCAAACTGTTTAGTATAACAGGTGAGAATTTGAAGTCGAGGTACTTTCGAAACGTATAAACGTTAAAATTATCAATTACATTAATTTACAACATTGAAAAATATCAATTACATTAATTAATATCTCTCTCGAAACCACTCAATTTGTTTGTCTAAAATATTTCTTTGTATGATAAAATATTTCAACTGTTTTCTTTGATGACTCATTCGATGAAAAGTGACTTTGAAATACATACTTTCCGTGGTGAATGGGCACAAATGTAAAATAAGTAAGAAATGTCATACGAACTTTCATCCTCGCTCAAAAATCTTAGGACAAGTACTATATTTATATAATAAAATTATAAATTGCGTACAATAAACAGAATACTTACCATATAAATTATATAATATAAAAATATAAATTACGTATTATGCATTATGCAATGTACAATACATACGTTGTTATATTTGCAATAAATATAATACATGCAATATGATAAATATTCCGTTAATATTAATTAATATTAATTTATTGTATTATATTGTATTATAAAATATACATACGCAACAATCCACAATAAAATACCAAATATCCAAAAAAAAAGTGTCGTTCCAAAAAAGAGTGTACGTTCTACTAAGTGTCTAAATGTAAATGATTGAAAAAGAAAATGTTCGATGTGCCACAATACACCACTACTACACGCCTTAGAATTGAATTCTGCACTCGTGGAAAGTGTTGTTGGTATAATCAAGATGCTTCCAAAACACGAAATGCATGCCGGCCATTTCGACAAATGGACACGCATTACCATTTTGCCGATTTTACAACAATATCTACCAAACTCGCGAAACAAACTGCCAGAAGATTTCGTCAGAAATTTCGTTCTCTCGCATCGACGGTTTGTTGTAAACGTGTTGCACGTTATAAATATCCGTACGCGCGTTCCGCGGGGCGTTCCTCGAGCTGATTGGCGGTTCCTTTTTGCAATTAACGCTCGCCCGCGTATCTTTTGGATTTCGTGGTTTCGGCTTGGAACCAGCCTCGTGCGTTTTAATCAGCGTGTAATTAGATTAGAAGATCCGGCCGGCGCCGCGGAACAGCAATTAAACGTCTTGTGAAAAATTCCTTGCGGTTTTTGTTTCAGATGCAGAGAGCGGTGCTACTCCTCTGTTGGCTGCCGCTCCTCAACCACTGCCACGCCGTAAATCCAGGTAACAGAAAGGAAATTCGGCTCGGCCTTTTATTAGAATCGGTCTCTCGTTCACCCTTTAAAAACGCACTCGTCGTTGTCTTTCGCTGCATGCCTCTTTCGTCCGATTTCCGAGCTCCGTTTTTAAAATGAGGTTTCATCGCTGCACGAAGAACTCCGCGACTCCGTTTCATATTGAGACTCGCCGGGCTAGCGAGTTTCTGAATTTTCGCAGTTTACGTACTACGTAAGAATGGAACGTTCGAAGTTTTAAATATCCAAAGCGGAGTACTTTCAATAATGTTTCGTAGGTGAAGGAAATTTTCTGCTTGAAGGTTTCTTCGGTCGCGTTCGGGAAAACGTGAAAATGCATGAAAATCCAAAGTTTGGTAATATTTTCGCTTGTTGGAATCTAACGAAGAATTTCAATGTACAGAAATTGAAGGCACTCTTCAAATGAATTTTTTTTTTTACCTTGGAACTTACCTGAATCTTCGAAATAAATTGATTACGCGTGCAGAGATTTTAAATTTCGGACGTTGAAAGAAAATTTCTATCGCCGTTTGCTTCTCAGCTTATTAATCGCCGAATTAACGATTATTAATAACTGCTAAATTGTGACGTGATATAAAACGTATGCACGTGCATACATACGCGCACGTTTCGTAAATTTTACATACATTCATTGTCAATTAACGTGTTACGTGCATATTAATAAGTATTCACAGCGTCACTTGCAATTGTAATACGCATACAATTGTCCAATCCTCTGTTCCAACGATCAACAAACATTTATTAACCGCTATTGTTCTTCGTTTGCGTCCGGTTCTCTCTTGCCTTCGCTTGCTCCACTCTTTCACGAGGAACGAAGATTAAAATTTATGCAACCGAACAGAAAGTCCCACGCACGTGGAAATTGTTGCACGTGGCGTGACGCACATAAAAACACGTAGAGTTTCAACGAATTAAACGGGGAAACGTTGGAAACCAACATTTAATATGAACGTGTTTATTTCGTCTCCTCGTAGGATGAAAAACTTAATTTACTCGAAATAATCTAACTTGCGCGTTCTGTAAGCTGCGCACTTCCTTTCTGCGCTACGACTTCAATTAATGAATAAGCTTGCATGTGAATATAACAATTATTTTATTGTCATATATTATGCAACGATATTGCAATAATATTGTACACGTTGTTATAATATAATATACATTGTTTTATTATCACATGTTATATATTGTTGTATTAAATATTACGTATTAAAACGAAACATGAATGGAAATTGCTGATATCGTGAAAATAAGTTTCCGAAAAGCTACGTTAATAGAACGATTGTGAAAAGAATTTAGATCAAAAATTACAGACGAGGAAAATGGACCGAAAGATCACGAGTATCGATTGACTAAAGAAATCGTAATAATTGTAACATCATTCGTCAAAATGCATCGTATTTGGCGACTCGAAATTTGTTCGATAATCACTTTTAACACTAGAACCATCAAATGACCAATTTATAATTTCTTTGTAGAGTAATTTCGCGGATTTACAATGTCTTATGTTTTTCAGAAATTTGGATGATTTTTCTAAAATATACGAGTAAATGTCGGCGTTCGTTATCTTTCCCATTTCTTTGACTCAATTTCGATACTCTAGTCCTCGGCAGTTCTAGTGTTGAAAAAAATGGTCAAAACACAAGAATTCAGCAGCATTCTCATACGAAAACAAAAAAAAAAAAAAAAAAAAAGGAACCGATCTCTCGTACGGAACAATCCCCTCGCTGCAACTCCGTTTTCCCCTCCCGGCGACCACGCCAATAAAACCCTCAACAATTTCATCCGACGCGGCGTCGTAAATCCCTATCCAGCTTCCGGTAACGGTCCAGCCGTTCGAATCATTAAAGTTACAAACGACGAAAATGTTTCCGCGTTTCACGGGTAGAATGTGCTCGCAGCGAGACTCGGCGAACTCGCCGTGTACATATCCGGAGAAAAATTAACGTCCCGCGGAGCGTAGACACCACCGGTATCGATTCGACGTGCCATTTACCGCGAAACCGATGAGGATCGATCGCCGCCGTCCGACATCCGGTTATCGTGCTAATGCGGGCCGCCGTTCACACGGCACATCGGCCTTTAACGTATAGCCGGAAGTCGTGCAGCCGGTATTTGAACGTATCTAGGCAACATGCCGGACACAAAAACACTAGCCCGACCTTAGGGATCGTTCGTTGGAGAATCGTCGTGCGGCGAAGTGACGAATCGCGAGGATGCACGGAGGGGTTGGCGCTTGGGTTGTTTCCCTCCCATGTGCGTCACGTATCGGCCGCGCTTATTTATATCGTATCGGAAGCGTGTTACAACTTCCGTTGAGAGGTTCGCTTGCACTGTTCGCTGCCCGTTCGTGCTGATACCGCTTGAAGGATGAAGCTGGCGAGCGCGTGGTAGGTTTGTACCACCGGGGACTGCTTTCGTCTTGCAGGGATGGTTCATTTATCTCTGGCATTTAGGAGCAATTTATTTGAACGCTAGTATTTGAGGGGTAGTTTATTTCGACGCTAGTACTTACGAATATTTACATATACTAATTAGGGATAGTTTATTTTAATATTAGTATTTTAGTGTTGGTATTAATGTTCACCTTGGAGGATGAAGCTGGCGTGGTACGGACTGCATGGGTGGTTTATTTATCTCTGGCATTTAGGAGCAGCTTACTTTTACACTAGTATTTGGGGGTAGTTTATTTTGATGCTAGTGCTTAGAAATAATTTATAATAATATTAGTAATTAAGAACGGTTTATTTTAACATCGGTAGTCATTTAATGTTAGCCTTTTAATGTTAGTATTAGTATTCATCTTGAAGGATGAAGCTAGTGTGGTAAGTTTGTACGGACTGCTTTCGTCTTGCAGGGATGGTTCATTTATCTCTGGCATTTAGGAGCAGTTTATTTGAACGCTAGTATTTGAGGGGTAGTTTATTTCGACGCTAGTACTTACGAATATTTACATATACTAATTAGGGATAGTTTATTTTAATATTAGTATTTTAGTGTTGGTATTAATGTTCACCTTGGAGGATGAAGCTGGCGTGGTACGGACTGCATGGGTGGTTTATTTATCTCTGGCATTTAGGAGCAGCTTATTTTTACACTAGTATTTGGGGGTAGTTTATTTTGATGCTAGTGCTTAGAAATAATTTATAATAATATTAGTAATTAAGAACGGTTTATTTTAACATCGGTAGTCATTTAATGTTAGCCTTTTAATGTTAGTATTAGTATTCATCTTGAAGGATGAAGCTAGTGTGGTAAGTTTGTACGGACTGCTTTCGTCTTGCAGGGATGGTTCATTTATCTCTGGCATTTAGGAGCAGTTTATTTGAACGCTAGTATTTGAGGGGTAGTTTATTTCGACGCTAGTACTTACGAATATTTA